TGGACGAAATAAGGACAAATTCAGGCTCTGAAATACTTCCAAAAATGTAAAGGCAGGATTCCTAAATCTCATCTGAGTGCTTAGTTTTTTTTTGTTTTGGTCTTTTGTATATTTTAAATATTTACTAAAAAGTGCCGATTTAGATTACCAATAGGGTTCTAAGTAGAGTAATAGTGCGACTCAAGCTTCGACAGGGTATGGAAAACCTCTCAGTAATTCTTTTGTAAAATTATTTGATTGTCCTCTGTTGCTGTTTCTGCTGGAAACGGGAACTGTTTTCCTTGCAAAAGCGATTTCAACTCAGTTGTGAACAGAATATTCACTGATATTTATTGTGTTTTAAACACTACACTTGTTTTAAACATAATATTTTCACAGACTCTAAATGTTGCCCCTTCGTCTATAAAATTATACTTATACGAATAACTTATGCGAGAGTTAGAGTTTTCCCGTTTTCTTTTCACAGTACCGCTTTTCAGTACAAGTGATGACAGGAAGCAAGGTTTTGCTTCCTCAGTAGATAAAGTACTCGAAAATCTGTAATCTTAAATCGTTCTAAAGTTTACAGCATTCAAAATATTTGGCGTTGTTGTTGTGTTCACACTGAGTTTTCCTTTCTTTTGGCGCTTTTTGAAAATCGTAATAAATTTTTTCCTCTTCGTTTTTTCTTCTTCCAAGATGTCCCCACACCCTTTATTCGTTTGTTTTTTTTTTGTTGCTTATACGTTTATTGAGATTTATCACTTCGTCGTCATTTAGATAATTTTCGATGATGATTGGATATTTTACTTGATATAGCGACTCTGCAGTTATATTATAGTTGTGACACAAATGGGTCGCCTCAATCAGGGCAGGACCATGCTCTCACAGAATACCAGCGTAAAATAGCAACGTAATGTTGCTATTTTGTATGGTGAGTGTAGAGAACCGGAGCCTGTTTTTATCGAGGCATTCCATCTTAGTCCTCAGGGGTGACAACGCATTTGCATTTTGATTTTTAATTGAGGATAAATGTGGATGTCTATGGACCTTTTGTCTTCCACTGTCAGATGTATACGATAATGGGGAGAAAATGGGAGGAAGTGTTATAAGTAGGGCCCGGCTTAAAATGTATAGAAAATATCAAAATATGTACATATTACATGGACTGAAAATCCTAAAATATTGGAAAAATATGTGTAATAAAAGCTAACGACATTGTACATTAAAACGAATCTTTATTAAGAAAAACCAAAAAAAAAATACAATTTTACTTAGCTTCTGTTTCATTATTATTTAAATTACAGTATATAACTACGAGTTTCCTTAAATTTTAAAAATTAAAACCCTTTATGTTTGGACGAAATAATGCTTTGTACTGGCTGAATGATTTTTCACAAGATATGATTGGACCATATTTAAATTTGCATAATTCTGTAAGTGAGTGGGGCACGTCTATGGTGTCTTTTAATGTTCCACACAGCACGCTGTTAATTTTCTTTAGGGTGTGATATACTTTGTTTTTTCCAGTTCATTGCTTTTTTTTGCCTCGCTACTTCAGCAACGGGACCTTCTGATTCTAAAACTTTACGATATTTTCGATAATCTTCAAATTATCATTTAGAGAAGTGGAAGAATTTTCAAGTGCCTTCATCTGGTGTGATGAAAAGCAATAATTGCTTTTTATATAAAGCAAATCGTTACGTAGAGTATCATCTTGGAGAAGTTCTTTTGAGATTGAAATAGCAGCAGCTTCGTTTTCCAATTTAAAAATAATAGTTTCGATTTCAGTGTAATACTGGGCATAGTATTCAACTACTATTAGCCAAGCTCCCCAGCGGGTTAGCACTGGCTCTGGCGGAAAAGAAATGTCGGGATACATCTCTTTAAATTTTGATATCCTGCTTGGTACTTTCAAAAAATTTTCTTTACGGTTAATACTAAACTCTCAACCTTTTTAAACTGAGCAGCAATTGCTAAGTAGCAAGAAAACTTGTTCATGTTTAACTCCATCAGGCCACAAAACACTCATTGCATCATGAAAAAGCTTTGCTGACCTTTGGTGGTTGCATTTATGAAGTTCTTCACACGCCAATAAAAAGGATTTGCTGGCATTTTACATCTAGACGTCCGATAATCACATTGCCAATGCACCGGTTTTGGGAATCTGTAGTTTCGTCAATGCAAACACGTCAACCCATATAGAGCCATCCTTTATATATTCACGAATAGAAGCCAAACAATTTTCATAAATATCTACCAGACACATAATTTTTCTTAAGTGTGGATTCATCAGGAATACCTAAGCCAGAGTATTTTCCATGAATTGTTTTAAAGTAGGATTATTCAATTTCCATAAGGGTATATCTGCACATATCATCGCTTCACATAATTCTTTCGAGAAAGTAGAACTTTTGGAGCTGCTTGCGACTGCATCAGTAAAAATTGTTGCATAAATTCTTTCTTGTAATATTCTGCATGTGTTTACCGGTAGACATGTGTTATATCATATCAAAAAATGTTGCTTGGTGGATATAGATTTTTCACAAGCATTACAAAATAGTACTTTTCCATCTGTAATTAGGAATTGGTTTGGGAAAGCTTCGATATAATTTTGCAATTTGAACCGCAATGGTTGCTTTTCCTTAGACATTTTTCAGTTTTGGTTCTTCCACATGTAATTTTTTTTTGCAATCTCCGAATCAGGGCACATTCTTTTAATTAATTTCGGAAGGTGTTCCATAATATTCAGAGCTATATTGTGCTCAGCCACAAAAGTTGATAAGAGAATTTCGCTTTCTTTCACACTTTCCGTGTTTTCTCTTTTATACACAAAATATGACATGGACCGTGTTGAGATACTAGGAGACTTAGGAGGGGCACTCTGGTGTTTTGCCGTTTTGCCATGTTTGAGAATATAGTTTTTCCCTCCTGTGGCAATCAAGAGATCGGTCGAACATAGTTTACAGTAAGTAAAGGAGTCACCCTTAGTATTGCGTGCCAGCCAAGTCTTAAATCCAGCTTCTTCTAACCAACTAACATAAAACGTTGCATAATACGTTGCTTTTTACTTGACATGATTGATGCACACTACACTGTTCACTATATTAAAACTTGAATAAAAATATTAAAAGGAAAATAACATGAAAAGACGTCACGAAAAATGAAACTAATTAATTAAAAATGGACGAAACAAAGCAAAACTTCGAAATGAGCAATTTATCCATTCAGTACTAGAACAAGGAGATTCGGGAATTCCTCGTTCACTATTTCCATATGTTGCCATATGTACGACTGAAATTTCCTAATATAGAAAGCTAAATTTTTGTTTGTTCATATAAAATGCTAACTAAACTACTCCATTTGTTAAATACAAAAATTTATCATTACTTTTATTTTATAACATAGAATTCCGTATAAAAATCCGTATGTAAATGTTATCCGTATGCGAGGTTGAAAATCCGTATAAATACTTCATCCATTCAGTACTAGAACAAGGAGATTCAGGAATTCCCCGTTCACTATTTCAACTTGATTGATTGTTGCCATATGTACGACTGAAATTTCCCAATATAGAAAGCTAAATTTTTGTTTGTTTATATAAAATGCTAACTAAACTACTCCATTTGTTAAATACAAAAATTTATCATTACTTTTATTTTATAACATAGAATTCCGTATAAAATGTCCGTATAAAATAAATGTTATCCCTATGCGTGGTTGAAAATCCGTATAAATACGGATAAATCCGCATAGTTGGCAGCACTGATTCAATGTTCAACATAACAGATTGTCAGGCCCTTTCATTTCTTGAAGATAACGCTGTATCAATCGTGTTCTGAAGCCTTGTTTAAGGACTATAGGGTGAAAATCATTTAAATTGACCATTGTGACAAAAATGAAACAAAAATGAAAATGTAACAAAAATGAAACACGTAACAAAAAACAACAAAAACGAAATATTAGGGTGTTTTCACAATATACACTGGTTATCACTTAGCAACACGAACATACGCGCCCATTGGCAGCTGGCGAAATTCCGAGTTCCTCTAAGGATTACTATTAATTTATTAATCACGTACAAGATTTATGAAATAAACCACTTTATAATGCTTTTATTATTTTCTTTTATTAACTAAATTGTATCTCTTATAAACCTATTTTTTCTTTCGGGACAGTAAAAAAGAGATCAAATATTTCAACATAATCAGTTACATTTTGAGAATATTATTCTTAGATAAAATTATCATAAACAAATTAATGATACAAAAAGTAGACATTTGTCAACAGCATTCATTTCGTTACAGACTTGGGAAAAAGGGTAACAAATTTACAATCTATTTCTATATTAACTCTTTGCTAACACAATCGTATGCAGACATTATTAAGTTTTATATGCGCAGTAATTTTATATGTGCAGACATTATTAATCTGTATAATGTCAAAATTAATGCAAATATCATCTATCAATATCAATGCAAATATTAATGAAGCTACATACATCAAAGCTATGATGACTTTTTATTAATAACCTCATTTAAAAAAATAATATTAACGATATCAAAATAATTGCAATAGGAACTAAAAATATCCAGACATTATATCTATTTACTGTCGTCATGAATGTTTAAGGAACTATAGAGGTATCAAAAACTATTTAACAAAATAACAATATGAAACACTATTCACTTTCACTTGAACTAGAAAAAAATTTTTTTTTCTTTAATGATACAGAATTAGTTGTTGAACTTTCAAGAATTTCAGGAAAATCTACTTTGAGGTCACAAGAAGACACATTTTGCCGCTTTGTATTGCTGATCATTTTCCTTAAATCACTAATTGCATAGTTTACTTTAACATCGGATAATATAGTCACAGCTCCCGCATTTTTTATATTTTTCCAGTTATTTTTATGCTGATGATCGACATTTTCTTTATTTGTCACGGCGGCATAGGTATGGTCTGCAACCACAGGTGTCGTAATTTGCGTTGGATTGCTCCGCACTTTACGCTTAGAAGTTTTAGTAGTACCAATAGTAAGTGAAAATATCTGAGGAGTCTGAATCACAGTCAACAGCACCAAAAATATCTATTGGTACAGTTGGTATATTTTTTGAAGAAACCGGTGGTGTTTTATTCTCGGACTTGGAGATAGCAGCAGACATGTTGGTAGTATGTGCTGTTCTTTTAAACGGTAAAGGCAGACAGTCATCTGAATCGGATGTTAGCCGAGTTCGCTTTCTGGGGCGAGATTTTAGCAGACAATGTCTTTTAATGTTGAAACAGTCGCAAAAACCTCTCATGCTTGAGCCGTTACAAAAACAACTTAAAACTCGGTAATTTATTTCATTAGAGTGGTTTTCTGTTTCGACTTGTATTTGGTGAATCTTCATTGTTTTAGGAACAGGCACTAAGCTTTCGAAAGCTGTTTGATTTTTACTTTTTATCTCGATAATATCCGACTCCTTAACACAAAAAAGATTGACAGTAGTATTTTCTTTCAGTAGAGAGTATGCTGTTGAGGTGTCTGAAACGTCCATTCCATGGGATACTTTAGCATCCAAAAGTCGCTTGATGACTCCTCCTATACCATCAGCAGCACTTTTCCCATGATAAGACTCTGAAAAGTTCCAAGTCCCTTTTTCAAAATTCAAGTCCTCAAGATATAATTTATACAGATAAAAATTCTTTTTCTGTTTATACTGAGTGGCGGGGCCATCCGAAAATACGTGTACAGTATTAATTTGAGGGACTTTTTTCTTGATATCAATCAAAATTGGTCTCAGATGTGCCCATATTGCTGCGGGTGAATGATCTGTTGAGTCAGATAGTGTGCAATATGCTCGAGGTTTTGAACTTTTAACGTATATGACACTTGTGTGTAATGATATTTGATTTTGCGTCCCAAAGTGGGCTGACTGTATTTGCCGATGCATTTTACATGTGTAATTTTCAGAAAAGTCGCAGTGAATCATAACCTCGTTGTGTTGAAGACTGCTTTTGAGATTTCTGTATACGTTATATTGGTGCCAAATATTAAAATAATGCTCTTTAAACTTTGTAAGTTCTTTTTCAAAAAGATTTATAAGAATCTCCAGTTTTTCTGTTTTTGATTCAGTTACCACTTTCTTAGTTTTCTTAGTCTCATCATTTTTTTCATATTCAACGTCTTTCGTGATCCACTCTATCCAGGTAACGTTGTCATATTTTTTAGCTTTAGTGAAATTGTAGGTTGGAGACGTCGTTTCGCAAATATTACATTCAGAATACATACATTCTTTTGATTTTGTGTCGCATACTGTTTCTTCCAATATATTTATTAATTTCATACCCGGATCAAAGATCTTCAGCTTTTTTAGTGCCATAAATTTGAACTCAAAGTTTGCATGAATTTTGCAAACACATGTTTCACGATTTGACAGTCGAGGTGTAACTACATAAAAAGGTCTGTGTCTACAAAAAGTGGCAATGGACACGTTAATACCAGTATCTTCCCTAAATTTTTTACGTAAATTTTTAACAGTGGTAGAGCCATGCGGCAGCTTTGCTGTTGCACGTATGGGCCGGCTCAAACCGGGGTGGTACCACGACCTCTCAGAAAACCAGCGTGAAGTGGAAGCTCTGTTTCCGCGTTTCGTCTGGTGAGTGCAGGTGGCCGGAGGCCCAAATTCCCCCCCCCCCCCATCAACATGGTAGCGGAATTAAATAATGATCGACTACCCAAGGAGGGTACCAGCACCTCTGGAGATTCCCTCGCTGAGCATCCACGACCATGTTTCTCCACTTCTGAGCGTGGGTGATCAGGCTGCCCCGCGTATTATGGGGGGGGGGGGGGGCAAAATTCCGCTCAAGACTACAACTGCTCGGGGCAAACGGAGCAACAAGACCAAGGCGACCCCTGCCACGCTGTCCGTGAATTTCTGCAATATCAGGGGACTTCACTCTAACCTAAACGCCGTCCACTACCATCTCGAGACGGCGAGGCCGGCTCTGCTCTTTCTGACCGAGACGCAGGTGTCCCCTCCGGCTGATGTCTCGTATCTCTCCTACCCGGGGTACAAACTGGAACACTCCTTTGTGCCTCGGGCTGGAGTTTGCGTTTACGTCAGAGAGGACATCTGCTCTCGACGCCTCGGCAGACTTGAAGGTTCGGACCTGTCCATCCTTTGGCTACGCGTAGACAGCGACGACCATCCGCGCGTCTACGGGTGCCTCTATAGGTCCCATAGCGGTAATGCCGAAACAGACCGACTATTCGACCACGTCCAAATGGCTGCAGATTCGTTGCTACAGCAGATCTCCTCCGCAGAGATCGTGATCCTCGGCGACTAACGCCCATCACGCCGAATGGCTTGGTTCACGTTTAACCGATCATGCGGGGAGATCTGTTCATGATTTTGCCTTGGCGTATGGTCTGACACAACTGGTTACTTCGCCTACGCGGGAACTTCCAGATGTGGAGGATCATGCACCTCCCTGTTGGACCTTCTGCTGACCTCTCACCCGGACGGATATCAGATTTCCGTCGACGCCCCTTTAGGCTCCTCGGACCATTGTCTGGTCCGGAGTGTGGTGCCACTCACGCTGAAATCGCGGTTGCATTCTGCAGGCTGCCGCCGTGTTTGGCACTATAGGTCAGCCGATTGAGATGGGATGCGGTCTTTCTTTGCATCCTACCCTTGGGGGCGGGTTTGCTTCTCGCCGGATGATCCCAACGTTGTTGCGGATTCTGTTGCTGATGTGGTACTTCAGGGTATGGATCTTTTTATTCCTTCCTCTGTGGTGCCCATTGAAGGCAAGTCTCAGCCATGGTTTGGTCGCTCCTGTAAAATAGCATCATGCTATAAGCAGGAGTGCTACCAAGCCTGGGCTGATGCATCAGCGTCCCGGGATGTAAACACCAGCTCTCTAAAAAAGAAGTATAATTCCGCCTCTAGGTCCTTCAAAAGAGTCATTGCCAAGGCAAAGTCAGAGCACATAGGCAGAATTGGCGAGAAACTAGTTCGCCTTCCTTCTGGAACCCGTGCATTCTGGTCTCTCGCCAAGGCTGTCCAGGGGAATTTCTGTCAGCCATCTCTTCCATCTCTGCACAGGGAGGACGACTCACTGGCCCATACCGCAAAGGAGAAAGCCGATCTTCTAGGCTCTTTCTTTGCATCCAACTCGACTCTCGATGACGGGGGGAGTACTCCGCCGACCATCCCGCGGTGTGAGTGCTCCATGCCGGAAGTGCACTTCACACAGCGCTCGGTTCGCAAAGCACTTCTCTCCCTGGACATCCACAAGTTGAGTGGGCCTGACGGAATCCCCCCCAATTGTGCTGAGGACGTGTGCTCCAGAGTTAGCACCGGTTTTAACGCGTCTTTTCCGGTACTCCTACTCCCTAGGCGTAGTCCCAAAATCATGGAAGACGGCTTACGTCCACCCGATCCCTAAAAAAGGCGACCGCTCTGACCCGTCCAGCTACCGGCCAATCGCCATCACCTCCTTGTTCTCCAAAACAATGGAGTCCATTGTAAACTGCCAGCTCATGAGGTACCTTGAAGATCACCCGCTGATTAGTGACCGCCAATACGGTTTTCGCCGTGGTCGGTCAGCTGGTGATCTTCTGGTCTACCTAACTCACAGATGGGCGGAGGCAGTAGAGTTCAAGGGGGAGGCATTGGCCGTTACTTTGGACATTGCGAAGGCCTTCGATCGGGTTTGGCACAAAGCGCTTCTTTCGAAGCTCCCTTCCTATGGGCTTCCCGAGAAATTGTGCGATTGGATCACCAGCTTTCTTGCAGATCGGAGCATCAAGGTCGTTGTAGACGGTGCAAGCTCCGATTGCAAGCATATTAATGCTGGTGTTCCACAGGGCTGCGTGCTATCGCCAACGCTATTTCTTCTGCATATCAATGACATGTTGCATACCCATTCATTGCTATGCAGATGACAGCACTGGTGATGCTCTTTACACCGGCCGAGCCAATATTTCTCGGGAAAACGTCTCCGAGTGCCGGGACAAACTTGTGTCTGAAGTCGAGTCTCTGCTGGACAGAGTCTCGGATTGGGGGCGACTAAATCTAGTCCAGTTTAACCCCCAGAAGACACAAGTTTGCGCGTTAACCGCTAAAAAGAACCCCTTTGTCGTATCCCCTCAGTTTCAAGGCACTCCCCTTGTTGCCTCAGCCAGTATCGGAATCCTCGGCGTCGGCATATCGAGTGACGTGCAGTTTCGTGGTCACTTGGAAGGGAAGGCCAAATTGGCTTCTAAAAAGCTTGGCGTGCTCAGCAGAGCGGGACAGTATTTCATGCCGGGACACCGCCTGCAACTTTACAAGGCGCAGGTTCGGCCGCACGTGGAATACTGTTCCCATCTCTGGGCTGCGGCTCCCCAGTACCAGCTTCTTCCACTTGACCGCATCCAGCGCAGAGCGGCTCGAATCGTCGACGACCGAGTGCTTTCCGATCGGCTCGATTCACTGGCGCTGCGAAGAGATGTTGCATCTCTTTGCGTATTTTATCGCATCTATCACGGGGAGTGCTCTGAGGAATTGTTCGGATTAATCCCAGCCGCCAAATTTCGTGAACGCACTACACGTCAAACGTCCCGATACCATCCACACCATCTGGATGCTTGGCGGTCCACCACTGTACGTTTCACAAGGAGTTTTCTTCCACGTACAACCTCTCTGTGGAATAGTTTACCACCGGCGATTTTTCCGGACCGATCCTTTCTAAAGGGCCGGCAACGCACCCGCAATTCTCCTGGTGTTGCGGTTGATCATGGGCGGCGGTAGTCACTTAACATCAGGTGAGCCGCATGCTCGTTTGCCCCTTCTTCTATAAAAAAAAAATGCTGTCAAGAAGAAACCGTTTCTGACGTTTCTGTTTTTTTAAAGTCTTAGTTTCTTTCTTTCCCGCCATAGCTCGGCTTACATCATCACGCAGGTAAAAGTTCAGATTTTTTTTTCGCTAATTCACTGTTTCTCCTGGAGCCAAATTTTGCATAATTGCGGATTCTACTTTTTAAACCGATGACCCATCTCAATCGCGAATGCATTCTATACTTTCTCACAATCGGTGATGTAAAAATATTCCTTAAAATCTTCTTCGCCTTTTTGTTATTCTTGTATTCCTGCTTTATTGATTCAGTCATAACGAGGTTTTCTAGAAGAACTTTTTTAATTTTCATTTTATCTTCGTTTGAAGGAGTAGTCATAGTTTTAACGAATGCTTCTGATTTTGAATTTGGCGTTTGAGGCTTTGCGTGAATTATAAGATTTTCCTGCTCTGAGGCAGACATCTGACAATTAAAAAGGATTTTTTGTCGATAGATTTTCTTTTTTAGTGCTTGTATTTGTTTTCTTTGTGTTTGAATTATATGTTTTTGTTTTTCATTTTCTTTCTTTAGCTTCTTATAGTATTTTTGATATTCTTTTATATTCTTTTTGGTTTTAACTTGTGATTCATATTTTTTCATTTGATTTTTCTTCAGCTTTCTCCAGTTACTTCTTCTTATTGACTTTTGGTTTTCTGTTAGTTTAGAAACTGACACATATTTATTTTTAATTCTGTTCAAATTTTTTAAACGAATTTCTTCAAACTTTTCTGGGTTTAATTCTTTAAGACGTTGCCTATTGTAATGTTGAACGGTTGGTAAATGAAAGGAAGACGTGTTTCTCTACTCAAGACTTTAATTATACTGTCCCTTAAACCTAAGAGTAAGTACATTTATTAACATATGCTAGTAGGGTGGAGGCACATACACTACACCTCCCCCGATACTTAAAAAAAGGAAAGTTCTATATTTACTTTTTTTTACATTTTAGTTTTCATGAATCTTATAACATAATAATAATTTTAATATTGAATAATTTTTAATATTTATTTTTAATCTTTTAATATTGAAGATTAAAATAAAATAACAATGTTACATAGGCTTTAAATGTATATAATTTCGAATTGGAATAAAATAACGTAGTTAAACAAAATATAAAACTAACTTCATTTAAAAAAAATTATAATCTCATGATCATGATCAGATTATACCATGGTTATACATAATCATATTATTAAGTCAATCCGTGATACGCATGCGATTTTATTTCGTTAACATTTTTATTTCGTACGACATTAAGCCTGTCGTATTTTTGATATTAATCAATGTCACAACTGCAAGTTAACATGAACATACCACCTATCATACCATATACTTATTAATATTTTTTTTTACATTTATTTTCACTCGAGATTTATTACATTAACTATATGTTCTAGTTAGAAGTTATGATTTAAAAGTTCAAACAATATAAAACTGAAAATAAACTATTACATTTCATATTAA